CCCAAAAACTGGTAATTTGACCATAATGAACGACATGTTGTCCGGGAGAGAACGGTAAAGGATGTTACAGTTTCGGGGAAAAGAGACAGAGGCAGACCTTCAGTATTGTGGATAAAGACACTGACGATGAATTCGCAAAAAAAAAAAAAAAAATTTAATTAAAAACACACACACATAAACCGCGGCGTCCGTGGCGTAGGCGCTGCGAGCCCGACTCGTAATTCCAACGTACCGCGATTGAATCCCACTGCTGGCTGCGTGAATTTTTATCATGGTATGGGGCGTCGCAGGTTGACCCAGCCTTAAATGGGTACTAGGGTGTATGGCCTGGGGAAGTAAAGACGGCCGGCGTAATGCTGACCACATTACCCACCTAGTGCCGAATGGTCTGTAAAAATATGGGTGCTCTTCCCATATGCCCGATGCGCCTAAAAGGCATGAAAAGGGATATTTACTTTACTACACACAGACTTCCAGAACTGGCTAGAGAAAGAGAGGTTTTCAGGCGTGTCATCTTGAGAGCGACGTTCTGTAAACGACCTGTTGACAGATAATGATGAAATCTCCATAGAGCAGGGCTATTCACCTAAGTTTACTCAAAGGCCGAAATTGTGAACACAGGGATCGTCACGGGCCGGGGACCTCAGCATCAGCTCAAAAAAATCATGAACACAACACAACTGGCTATGATCCGAGGGCCACTTGCTAGACTCCGCGGGCCAGATTTAACCCGCGGGCCGCCAGTTGAACAGCCCTGCCTTAGAGCTTATCCTCAGCTGGAGCGGCATCCCCTACTATCCCCGTGCCATCTTTTACAATATAGCGGATATATCTCTACAGCGCTATATAATATGTTCAGAAAAGGGAACTGTTCACGTTTTCCGGCCCATCTATACACCTTCTCAGTCTGAACTAGGTCAGAGGGGTGTCAGGTTGTACTACTTTCTTTGAAAAAAGTATCTCGTGTGACCTAGGGTCAGGGTGTGTGTAGGTGTATAGGGTTAGAGTCAGTTCTACATATTCTTGGGTCGTTGAAAGCTGTCGTCGTGGAGTATTGAACACGCGACATGGGCGCTGATCTTACTGGAGAGAAGACAACGTGACAGCCCTCCGACGTAGAATAGTCTGAGAAATGATGAATGAAAGGTCAGGTGGTGTGTAGATAGGCCAGGAAACGTGAACAGCACCCTGAAAAAACTGAGAAGTGCAACAATTCCGACTACATACTCGGGATCCGCGACTCTCCTTGTAATACCAGTGGCGGAAGACTGGACAACATACAGAAATACAAGCGAACAATGGATGTAATCTTTTACACAACCCAAACTAAGCCCACATCTCCATAACTTCAGAACCACTGATACCGGGGATATTTCTGGGTCACGGATCGAAATGGAGCCAGTCGTAAACTTGAAATCCCGGGGCAGGCAAATATTTGCCATAATGCGCACAGGAATCCAATTCTAAATTTATATCACGTAGGCCGCCAGTTACCCGGGTGAATACGCTATTTGGTACAGCTTTGATGACGCGAGAGAGAGAGAGAGAGAGAGAGAGAGAGAGAGAGAGAGAGAGAGAGAGAGAGAGAGAGAGAGAGAGAGTCTACTATAACTATGCCTGCAGAACGAACACGGTCCTATTTGTGTTGAAGCCGAAAATAGGTCTTGTATCTGTTATCTGATTCAGTTGTGTAAGTGAACTTGGAATCGGCTAGTGACCTCTTAACCTTCGTCTCCCACGTCAAAGGGGGGAGGGGCTAGGGAGAATACGAAAAAACATGTTGCAAAACAACGACAGTTTAAACAAGAAAAAAAAATTTCCAATAAACAAATAAGATGGCGGCTGGTGACACCTCACGTGAGTCATGGAAAATATCGAATAACTTAGCCTGAATTAGTGTACATTCATGGATGTTGTCAATGTTTTGTTAACAGAAGGAGTTGATGAAGCGGAGGGACAAGAGTGGGCGGGGAGAGATACCGAGAAAGAGAGATGCAGAAAGAGGAGAGAGAGAGAGAGAGAGAGAGAGAGAGAGAGAGAGAGAGATAGCGGGAGAGAGAACAGAAGAGAGAAATATAGACGTTAGGGATATATATATATATATATATATATATATATATATATATATATATATATATATATATATATATATATATATATATATATATATATATATATATAAACATATACATACATTGAGAAAGGGTAGGGAAAGATATACATATATATTCTGAGAAAGGGTAGGGAAAGAGAAAGTTGGAGAAGAGGAAAAGGTCCGGAGAGAAGGAGAAAGAAGAGAAATAAGAGATATAGTGATAAACAGAAAAGGGCAAGGGAGAGAGCAATACAAGAGAAAGAAGAAGACAGAGATTAGAGAGAAAGAGAGTGAGCGAGGGAGAAAATGGCAGCGAGGGAGGAAGAAACAGAGATAGGTAGGGGAGGCACAGAGAAAGATGATATATACTGGGATGGGAAAAGACAGGTCTTGACGGACACAGAGGGAGGTGTAAGTAAGGAATCCATATAGAAGTCTGTAAAGAGAAGAATAACAACTCCACAATGACGGACACATAGCCACCACGTCACATCCTAGTTTTAAGACATGTTCTGCAGTTGCCCACGGTAACTCACAGTAAGGTATGAACTTGCCCTGGAAATACGCCCGGCTCTCTAGCGTAGTTGGCTAAACCGGATTGCGCGGTGACCGGGTGACGAACTCCTAGTGGTCTGGGTTCACTCCCGGGGGTAGGCAGAAAAGCCACATTTCTCCTAGATTCACGGTGTTTACAATGGAATCAAGGCCGAAAGGTTGCGATATCCATGATACCAAGCGTAACGGTTAACAACTCATGGCTTCTGGATACTTAAACAAACAGCAGAGGAAATACACGATATTTTCTACTGGTTCAGTAGTTGATATGCAAGACTAGACAAGAATGCTATATTTATTTTGGACACGCGTCAATGTGTTTCCCAATCAGCGGATTGCTAATTATAATTTATGCTGATTTATACTGTTCATAAAAAGAAATATGGGGGACAAAAATTAGGAACAACATTCATCGATTGCTTGCGGTTTGTCCCCTTCAGGATTATAGTCAGCAGGATTACCACCTCAAGGATGAGAATCTTACCTATACAAATCCCACTCAACCTTGAAATTATATTAGGACCATCAACCGTTACAAAGTAACTAGAAGTTCGGCCCAGGTAGCGATAGCAAAAACGACACCATCACAAAAATCTCAAAGGTGATCATTATAAAACTGACATAAAAATCTATGAACAATTTTAGCATTGCATGTATGTAAAAATGAGCATATAAATATGAGGAGTGCACCTTGTGCAACAAGTTTTATACCCGAGTTAATCTGCAACATCGCAGAAGCGGCAGAAGCAGCGGCAATAGGGACGGGCAATAGGGATCATTTGGTTAATCTTATACTTCCATGGTGAGAAATATATACATTTCGTAGATAAGACACTCACAGAGATATGCAATATATAAACAATATACCTAGTGCGGTATGTCTAAATCTTCAGCTAGAAAGTAAACATGATTTCAGACTAGTTTATAATAGCTTTGTTTTCAAACTAGTTTATAATATCTTCGTTTTCAGATTAGTTTACAGTGTAAAATATCTTCGTTTTCAAACTAGTTTATATCTTCGTTATAATTACTTTATGTTTTCTTTATGTTTTATCTATCCACAATACCCTTCAAGTGGAACACAAGCTGATAGATGGATCGATCGATCGATTCACTGACTGATTGAGTGATTGAACTAGCATACAATTTATGTTGTAAAGTTTTCTCATTCACAGATAGAATGAAAAGAAGCTTCACGACCAGTCAAAATCTGAATTACTTAATTTTGATCATGCATCGTAAGATTTAACTATCAAAGCTTAAGTATTTTAGATGCGTACTATAAAAGTCTTAAGCTTTTATTTTTGTTCGTAAAAAAGGCATTTAAGAACTCATAAACTTCATGCTGTAAATCTAAAAAAAATTTTAATCAGGATTAAATTTAGTAAAATCTATTTAACGCAAATTCCAAAAAACAAATCAAGAATCCGCGTGTAAAAAAAAAAAATCGCTCTAACGGTGGACACTTAATAATACTTACTGCTGGTATCAGAGTTTTGTTCATGTTACAGAGGGTTCTTCTTAAGCACGTTCGTTTTAACTAGTCTTTACTGGATCAGGATACATGTCCAATTTGAAGAGAAGTTAAATGGCGGCATTTTTCTTTTAGTTCACCCCTATCTATTGGACTCCAAAATTCCACGGGGAGTTCAAGGGAAAGTCGAATACTATGGAGACAGGTTTTGAGTTTAGTCTGGTTTTTTTTTTCCACATTCTAATGCCCCTAAACTATTAGACTTTGCCATGAACTCCCTACTAAATCTCGGGGAGTCCGGAGATGGGGTGAATTAAAAGACAAGGACCTAACTGGCTTTTTCAATACATCCTTATTTCGAAGCAACCAGATCTGATGAGCAGAGTGCGTGTTCTATAGTTAGATTTTAACAATGGCTGTATTGTGTTTAGCGGACTCTATTCCTTCTGTCATTCCGTGCAGAAATTGAAATAACGATAGTCAGCCAATCCTAGAAGTGGTTCATTTTCAATTAATTAACATAAAAACAGGGTGTTCATTTATGCACCCTTGACATGTGAGTCATGTGCCATCTTGTCAGGAATAAAGTCTTTGTTTTATTTCTTTCAAAAACTCGTTTCGTTACTAGTCCCTCTAATCGACTTTGTTACCCACGATATTCTACATACACTTGTCTATTTCTTCAGTATATCCAAGGCTATAGGCCTTAAATTAACCGTCATTGCTAATCTAACATGTTTAACTCTCAGTTCACAGTAAAAATAAGTAACAAAAAAAATATATATATATATCAAACAAAAACAAAGGAAGGAAACAGTTCAGGAAAGAAACAGTAATCAGGAACGCTTACAGTAATAAATAATATGACGAATGGTTTTAGTTATTATAAAGTAAACACCTGAGTCTTGCAGTTTCTGTTTTGAGTGCAGCCACTTCTACCCTGAGTTTGATGTTCTCCTGTTCCAGAAGAGCTGCTCTAATGGCGATCTCGTCTTCTTTGGCTCGCCGGGCATCGCGAGATCGTTTAGCAGCATCGTTGTTCTTGCGCCTGCGTTCCCAGTAAGCTGCATCCTTTTGGTCATCGGGGAGAGATCGAGGGCGCTTGCGAGAATTCGAGTGAGAAAATGACGATGTACTGGAGACGATTGTTGCGTTGACGCTCCCCGCGGTGACAGGGATGGAAAAGTTTGTCGTTGGAGCGTTATGTACCTTGTGGTCCGGCATCATTAGAGGTGGAGATGTGCTGATAGGAGTGGACGGGTAAGCATGTGACGATGATCTGGTTTCTTGATGATTGTTCTGTTGATGAAGGTGAGATTGAGGATGATGTCGATGGACGTTATTTCTATTTGACACTGATACAAAAGAAGACGGTGAAATTCTTCCTTCTTGAAGTGATGACTGCTTATCTTTGAAAATATGAAGCTGACGATTGTATAGATTCACAATATCTTCACTGCTCATCCCAGAAAAGATCCCCGATTCTATACCCTTCTGAACGGCAGTTGGCGTCAGACTAGGAAGTCCGAAGAATCCTAGAGGCATCTGTAAAGCTTCCTTAGGATATGCCTTGAAAGGACGGTTATTTTTCTTACTGCGTGGATCTACAAAAGTGGCCGCCGCCGCCATTTGCGAAAATGAGTTAATGTTTGACATGTTTCCTATCAAATTTGAGGACAGACCAGAAAACATACCCAACTCGTTTGTTAAGGAAGGATTTGATAACATGGGCGAAACTTGAACATCTGGTTGGCTAAAATGTTTCTGGTCATCAAATCTGTGGGGACTGGGTGTACTCCGCTTGCTCATGTCACCACTGTGGTTCGCTGACTCAGAGTCTACAGCCGGGGACATGACACTATAGTCAGTGGCGTTACCTGGACTGCACAGTGAGGCCTGAGAATCATCTGTCAAGCTCCCTGAGAATGATGACCTTCTCTTCACTGAGAAGTCAATCGGACTGTCTTGATCGTTATGCATGGAGGTAGGGCATTTGGTCATTTCTCCAGCTTCCTTCTCCGCTCGAAGCTCTTGGATTTTCTGTTCTAATCCACTCCCAAGATACATCCCTTCTCGATATCCACTAGACTTTCTCAACAGGTTGCTGACAATGCCGCCATTAGGGCTGTTGTTAATGGTTTCAGGTAGCGTCTTGTAAACTGTTTCTATGCCATCTTCAGCCATTGCTTGGTATTCAGAGCTGTAGGAATTCTTCCATGAGTTGCTCAGCTTGTGTTGCATTCCCTGGAAAGAACAGACAAAAACAGTTTTTTTACACAGAATTTACAGCAAACAAAGTAACGATATATAAGACTGAATTACCACAAGAAATTCAAACTTTACTAGGAAGTAACGGATAAGGGAAAACACACAAGGGCCTCGGTGGCGAAGTGGTAAATGCGTTTTCCTCACATCCAGAAGGTTGTAGGTCGTTTCATGGACGCATCCTTCTTTTAAAGATTGCAGTTTTACAGAGGTCCTTGGAAATCGTCGCTGGGGCTACGGAGTTCCTGCTTTGTGTCACGCTCTCGGCAGAAGATTAGCCGTTCTGCTGCCAAACACGAGCTATATGGAATTCAACTGGGTGCAATGAAGTCGAAATAAGCCCCAAAAACTTTCTAGTTGTTCGTCCACTTCTGGACTTCAGTCTTTTCCAGAACTATCCACAGGTGGGTTCCAGTGCCGGGGTGGGGTAATAGACCCACTGCCTCCCTAATAAGCATGTCGTAAGAGTCGAAAGAACTATTTAGGGGCTCCGTTAGTCGTCGAAATGTGTCTGCCTGACAGGCAAGGAATCAGGTCTACATACAATTAAGCCAGAAGTATCAAACGGATGCGCTCGCAAAACTCAAGCTCTGGAACGAGGCTAAGAGCCCGAGGTGGACGCACAGCTAGAACTTTCCAAGGGAGACTACAGTCAGCGAACTCGAAGAAGAAGAAGAAGATGAAGAAGTTACATGTACATCCAGTTTCAGATCAGATCCATTTTTATTTCTTAGACGATTTGGGCATCATGGGAAGAGCATTCCATATTTTTACAGGCCAATCGACCATTAGCTGGTTAATGTGGTCAGCATTAAGCCGGCCGTCTTTACTTGCCCATTTAAGGCTGGGTCGACCAGCGACTCCCCATACCAGGATACAAATCCACGCAGCCAGCAGTAGGTTTCGATCGCAGTATGTCAGAATTATGAGTCCGACTCGCAACATCTAAGCCACGGACACCACGATACCAAATTTAGAAGTGTCTTATCTATATGCAGATGGTTGTTTCCTCAAACTCAGGCAGATTTTCCCAGACTTCGAAAAACAAATACCCAATTAGTCGCCTTTTACGACATGCTTGTTTGGTGAATCCCAGGGGGTGGAGGGTGGATGGGGGATATATTTTTTTCCCCCAAAATGTGATCCCCGAATCCATACGGGGAAGGTAAGTTCGATTAGAAGAAGGTGAAAAATGTGAATGACGAATGGGGAATCTGGATAACATGCTGTGTGGTTTAATCGAACCTCAAAAGTATCTTCTATCATCTGATTTAATCTTCTACTGCACCTTCTTCAACAAAATGACGGATGATACATGTGGTTTAATCGAACCTCAAAAGTATCTTCTATCATCTGATTTCATCTTTTATTGCGCCTTCTTCAACAAAATGACGGATGATACATTTGGATAACATACTGAGTGGTTTAAACTCAAAAGTATCTTTTATCATCTGATTTCATCTTCTATTGCGCCTTCTTTAACAGAATGACGGATGATACATTTGGATAACATACTGAGTGGTTTATTCGAAGCTCAAAAGTATCTTTTATCATCTAATTTCATCTTCTATTGCGCCTTCTTTAACCAAATGACGGATGATACATCTGGATAACATACTGAGTGGTTTAAACTCAAAAGTATCTTTTATCATCTGATTTCATCTTCTATCGCGCCTTGTTCAACTTGGCTTGTCTTCTTCTCGTCACTCTGCCAAACGTTGCCAGCAACAAATCCAGAAACCGAAAGAACTATTGATTATAATTATCTGGCTACTTAACCACGGCACAAAGATTTGATGCGCACAGTCAGTCAACCATCAACTCAAACAAGTCTTTACTCTTAGACGGGAGTCTTCCATCAATACAACCTATTGTTGTGCTATTACTGTTCAAGAGACTTGATCGATTTCTCAACATTTAATTTGTCCTGCAACTTTAGAAGATATTTTGAGACAGTAGGCTTGTAACAAGCGTATCTTATTAGTGATCTCATCATCATCATCGTCATCATCATCATCATCGTCGTCATCATCGCCCTAGTCTGTATTGGCTGATGACTATGTGGCCGACATACAGTTTCTAACAAAATATTTCTTTCAACTTCACGAATAGCTGCCCTAACCTTCATCTTTGTGCCAGGTCATGCGGGTGTTCAAGGAAACGAGCTTGCAGACTATCTTGCTGACACTGCGGTTGCTATGGCTAGTCTAGTACTAAACAGAAGTAATGTTATCATTGCCATGCGCTGCACTTATCGTACCAGGGAGCACGCCAAAGGGACATGACTCCCTGTCTAGACTGATGGGCATGGGGGTGCAGCCTGGAGCTGCACAAAATGAACATTTCACGAAGGGGACGTTTCATTAACCAACACAGAACAGGCGTCATCTGTCGTTTTACACTTGTGGAGCTTTTGAGGAGATCGGAGCACCTATGGATCTGTCCGGAGATCTGTGATAATAATCCTTTCTAATCACTAATCACTAATTTCTTTTAAATGGCCTGAATTTATATTTGTAGACTATGTTCATGATTAAAAAAGTGTTTCCATCTTATTTCTAGCTATCACTGTGTCTCTTTCGCTCTTCTTTGACTGAAGCACATAGTGAACGCTGACTTGCAGGATCGATCAGTCGTTCTTTTGTCTCCCACAGTCTGCTTCTTTAAGAATTTTCCTGGAAATGAGAAAGCTGATCAACTGGCAGGAGAAGGTGCGACAAAAGTGCAGCCGGATGTACCAGTCACATACCACCAAAAGAAAAGAATCATTAAATCAATCAGGAAACCACCAGCCCCAGCACAAGAACGACTATTTTATTTTGGACAGATCAGAACAAGTCATTATTCTCCGCCTCAGAACAGGGCACAACCGATTACGTAACCACATGTACACAAAATTCAAGATAGGCATATTAGCCATGTGCACTTGTGGAAAGGTGACCCAAACAGCAGAGCATGTACTCCAGGACTGCACCGAATTTGACACATTAGGGCAAACCTTTTGGCCAGAAAGAACAAGAGTGGAACGTAAACTCTATGGACCACTGAATGAACTAACAACGACAGTGAAATTTATACAAGAGACAAAACTGCTGATGTAGACAACTTATTTTAGGCAGAAGAAAGAAGAAGAAGAAGAATTTTCATACTATCTTGATATGGAAAAAACAAGTCTTAATCCGGAGGGCAGATCAGTATGGATGATCTCATCTAGATAACTTGTTCAACCTCTAAAGTTAAAGTTAAATTAAAGTCGGGAGGATCGACTTCATTGCACCAGGTTTTATCCCATATGGCTGGGTCTCTCTTCGCAGAACGGCTAGCCACCTGCCGAGAGCGTCAGAGTACGTACTCCGTAGCTCTAACGACGATCTAGATAGATTTCCGTAAAAATTGCACTCGTGAACTGAAGAGCAGCTGTGGAACGAACCCAGGACCTTCACTGTGCGAGACAAACGGCTTGACCACTTCGCTAGACCACTAAAGAAGTTATAAAGAAAACCAGTAAAGAATCTAAAATTAGGGCACCTGTAGCCGATGCACCAACCAGGGGTAACTTGGGAGTCCAACGCCGGTAAGGACGTCTCGCTCGATGTTTATGCGATTTTACTTGCTGTCTCTCCGTAAATTCTATCTCTGAGTTGAGTCGAGTCGAGTCAAGAATTACCATCACAGTACTCGAGGAATTCATGAAACATGCACCGCGTCATCTTCAACAGCCACTGCAGAGTTCCAATACTAATGGTACCGGTCGCAGTCTGGTTATTTGTCCGTCCTGCCTTTCCTCTGAGTGTAGTGAGCCGGCCATACCCTCTGGTTACACCCAGGTGCCTCATTCTCTCCAGGACATAATAATCTTCTTTCTCTACTGATTCCGTTGCTTGTTTCCAAAGGGGCCTTGACCACATTTGCCTTGTCATGTATCAATTCACCACCCAGTCGTGCAGATCCAGTCAATCTGTCTGTCTGTTCATTACCCACTACGCTGGTATAGCCTGGAGAAAAGATCCAAAGTATGCTCACTACTCGTGACCTTCTACCCCTGAGATTTGCAGCTATGACACCAAGGCATCTGAGAAGGGTCGCCCAAGCGACAAGAACAAGCAATGTTCGCAACATGGCAACACATCATGATCCGGAAACATCAAGATCCGGAAACATCAAGATCCGGAAACACTGACCTCTCAAACTGGATAGGGTCAGTTTTGATGGTCAAGACGTGCACGCAGAATGAGAGAGATTCGGCTACTCCGGCAGGCATGGGAGACCAAGAACCAGGAAACCACACCTCCAGGGGGACCCAGGGATCGCTAGAAGACATCTGACAGTCCCTGACTGACAGGGGACTGGAATGGAACAACCCCCCCCCCCCAAAAAAATGTCCCCCCCCCCTCCCCAGAAAGAAAAGTGCAGAGACAGAAGTATAGCGATCCCTCTGGCACACCTTAACTCCCCAAAGGAGAAGAAGATCGACTTGGTAAGTAAGGAAATAAGTATTTTCAATGCTTTATTATTATCTTACCCCCAGATAACGTCACAGGATAATCCTACGGTTTAGAGGTTGGTAAGACTGGGTTTCCCGGCTTTCTGATGCTTTTAACGACCCCAAAACGTCTAGAACTAGCCCTAAACCCAACCCACCTACGTCCCACGAGAGAGTGCAGCTTATCTCCCACGACTGCATGCAGCCTAGGTCCCACGACTGCATGCACCCTAGGTACTACCCCCTGAAATATTATACTGTCCCGTGAGCTGTAGATTTCCTATTTGGGGTAGGACAAGCACCATATTTTCACTAAGATTTATAATGTTATAACTTTACCACTGATAGTCTGAGTTTATCATTTCACTTATGATATTTTAATGCTATCATTCTTTAATTGTGTCTCTTCGGGCGTAGGGACAAGAGAATGCGGTCA